TACATCAGGTCAAAGGCCACACGTGTGTTCACAGGTCACAGGGTCTTACTATATGTTACAGATTGCTTTATGGTGGTCACAAGTAGCAGTGAACTAGTAACACAGATTTTCAATTAAGTGGAATTTTTTTCCAGACTAAAGTGAACATTACACTGGTGACACAAACGAGTTTTACAAGTCACAGGTCTGAGTACATGTTATGCATTGCAATCTGAGGGTCACAATTTGATTTTATGCATAATTTACTATCCAAATCGAAATAATCCGAACAAGTATTTCTCATTTCAATTATTAATTCATCACATTAAAATGTTGGATAGCTACAGCCAATTAAAAAAAAAATGAATAAGTAAAATTGTAACGAATATGGTGCAAGTGTCACCAAGTCATTTGCATGTCGTGAATCCTTGTCCCTTCTTGATTTTGGCCAGCATAACCATCGATATCTTCGATCCATTCAGCAAACATACGTAGACATCCTATTAAGATCCAAATTGAACACTATCATTATAGTATCCATAAGCGTCGCATAGGTGCAATTAAGAGCCAGCAAAACCACCAATATCTGGGATCCATTCAGCAAACATAAGTGGACATCCATTAATCTGCAAAATGAAATGTATGATGTCTGTACTTAAATTTAATTCAGGCAGGTCACAGTTGTATTCCAGGTCACAGTTAGGAGATCATTCTAGGTTCTGAAATTAAATGTACGAAGTCAGGACTTAAATTGAATTCATGCAGGTCACATATGTGTTTCGGGTCACAGGTAGGAGAACATGCAGAACACAAAATTCAACTGTAGGAAGACAGTAGTTAAATTGAAATGAATGAACACAGAATTCAACTGTAGGAACACATATGTATTTTTTTTCCATAGGTATGAGATCATACAGGACACAGATTTCAAATGTAGGAAGACAGCATTTGGATTGAATTCATACAGGTCACAGTTGTAAGATGGCGGAGGTGGAAGATCATGCAAAACACAGAATGACCTCCGACATTCTGGATGTGCTATCATTGTCATCAACGTCACATATATTATTGATTGGGCGTTGTTATTGTATCAATTGGAGTCACAAATTTATGAAAACTATATAGAACCGTAATCGTCGGTGGGGTAGCATAACATACCAATGGGCAATTGGAAATATTGGTGCCGGCAATGGAAGCGTTTTGTTTCTGATTGGCGCACTCAATTGGACCTTCAACCCAAATGAAACCTGCGTTCAGTAATCGAAATCTGATCGGGGATTACATCAATCGATTTGTGACCGAAATAATTGTTATTCGTCAGCCAACGATCCACCGTATGGAACTATGTGACCGGCGACGACGGAATCAGATTTGTGACCGGATATCTAGTTTAATCTGCCGGCAGTTTTGTCCAGATTCGGAATTAGTCTGGGGATGAAGGCGAATATGTAATTATGGAGGTGTTTTGTTATGTTAGGAAATCTTAACTGTACACTTAAATTAAGGAAAGAATATTATTAGATTAATTGTTAAATATAATTAATTAAATCGTGGAAAAACCTGAATTTTGAAAATCTAAACCTTTCGGCCTGATTTGTGATTTCGTGAAACATAATGCCTGAGCCATGAATTTTTCCCATGACTTTTTGGTTGTCAGCGCACTTATATACTATCTATTGGGCCTCTATTACCCTTTAACCTAAAAGTCCACAAGTGCTATTATATATTTGTCGCCCCGTTACTGTTGTTAAGTAGTGTGAAAGTTTGGTAGCCTTGTGAGAGAGGAAAAATAGCGTCCTTGGCTTCGTGCTTCTCGGTCTTGGCTTTGTGCCTTCTATGCTCTGTCTTCTCCTTCTTCTCTAGCCTTTGTGGCTGATACTTTGAGGCTACAATAACCTTAGTACTCAGCCCTTTGTGGGCAACGAGGAGCAACCGGTTTTGGTATTTGGTTTGGGATTTGGTTTGTGATTGCGGTGTTAGATTGGTGCAAATTGAGCCCGGTTATTGGTTTGAAATCGGAACCCATTTTTCTACAAAGATATCCTAGAAACTCATTCTAGGCCGAAGGGGATCTAAAAGGTATTAAATACTTTTAAATTGGTTCTTCATCTTTTGACCCTTGTGGCGGATGATCAGAATTGATCCCACCAAACTTGAACGTCAAGAAGATGATTGTCAAAACCGATCACCAATTGGTTTTGAAATTTTTAAACTTTCATTACTTTTCCTTGTCTTAACATTTAACGTTCGATGCGAAGCAAAATTTAGGTAGTGGGCAAACGATTGATATTCTGACAAATTGCCTCTCTCTCATTCATTGTCCCCTTGGTGTATGCAATGCAACTTTAGTCTTGTGAGTTTTGGAAATTAGAAAAGAAACCTTCCAAATGAATGCACTATTTGATGGACTGCACTCAACTGAAAAGAAAAAGAAAAAGTAAGACAAAAGGTTAATAATTAAGGACAGGAATAAGTGCATGTTTGGTTAGAGGCAAAATTTTTACAAGTTTTAAGTCAATTATTTTTTGTTGGTCGAAATCATAAATAGACAAGTACATATTTACTAAGGTTGCTCTATTTTGTTTGAAAGCCGAACGGACCACTTTTATTCATGTATATTGTCGCGTGCAACAAATATCGAAAATGGCATACAATTAATCCAAGACCTATCATATCTTCTCACTATAGCAAGTGATGCAAGTTTATGGATCACTTTGATCCCCACATCGCAAGGGAAGAATTAAGTCATCAAGTCCCACAACCCACTTCTATAGGCATCATCCAATAAGGGCTTGTACTTCAAACCACCTGCAAAGCATCGCATTTGGCCTCGAGCCCACATTTATGAGCAAAAACCAATCCCTCGAGAAGTGTGAGGGCCTCAACAACCCATGAAGAAAAATATCCTTCCATGCTCTAGGTACAAGCAGTGGCGGAGCAAGGGTGTGGTCGATCGGCCTGCAATATTTAATTCTTCTTTGAAATTATGTACACGTATATATTGTCATTTCAGAAAAAAAAAAAAAAAGTCGCTTCTTTTCGTGAAAGTACTGGCTCCATCGGTCGGCACAAGCCGTCACCACCGACACCGCCCAATTGAGATAAATTGGGTTAAAACCTCGTAAAATTTGAGCTTAATCTTCTTTCTTCTCTTTAATGTACAAAATTGAGCTAATTTTTTTCTTTTACAAAATTAGCGTTAAAAATATTTAGCTCATCTTGAAAGATCGTGTCTAACTCGACTCTATATTTTAACCCACCTTAAAATCTAATTTCGCTTTTCTTTTAAACTTAGCCAAGTGTTTCTAATACTTATAACTATGATGAAAAAGGAGAAGATTAGGACCAAGAAAAGCGACCATTCACCGTCCGATAGCCATTCTATTTTCACCTAACATAAGAATGCGTGACTTGCGCCATAATTTCCCTTCTAAATAGAAGGTTTGAGGGGCCATTTATTCTTAATTATCAATCTTCTTCTCAAAGAAGAATTGGCAGTTAGACACAATCAAAACCCTAAATTCTTGTTGTCTGCCTTTAGCTCAAATTAGGGGATTTCTTTTAACCACAATAATTAAATATTTAGTGCATATTTGATACATAATATCGAATAAGATTGTAACTTCTTTTTCTTATCTAAATATATCTAAAAATATTCAACCATGCCTTCCAAACATGTCATTATTGTATTTCTGCTACAACTGAATAAGATTAAACCCCTGTTTGGGCCTCGTTATTTATTTGGCAAAGAATGCATTTTTGAATAGTAGATTGATAGAGAATGTATGGTTAAAAAATAATGAAAAATTTTGGAATTGCGTGTAATACTATTTTATTGAAAAATGTACAATTGAAAAGAAAAAAAAGAAAATATATTTTGAAAATAGTAGGGATCAAACAAGCCTAAGAAATGTCGAAAAACGTTTATTCGTCACTTTTTCAGTATCATTGAATATGAATTAATTAATTAGTAGGTTTCATATGCTCTATTGCTTTGTTAGTAGGATATTAAGGTTAAACTTTCCCATTTTTATCAAGAGGAAAATCTTCAAGTAAAAGAAAAATTAAAAAAAAAAATGAAATGTCACATCAAGAATACCAAACATTGATGGTACAAATTCCCACACATAAGCAACAAAATCTAGTGCAAGTACGTGTTTAAAAGCAATGTCAATTTCATTATAATTTGTGTCTAATCTACACTTGGGCTTTCCTTAAAAGTTAATATATGTACCATATTAATAAATCCATCTTGTTCCCTACTTATAACTAAGCTTTCTCATCCTACCTCATCTTTGTTAAAACAAACACAATTTAAAAAATAAATATGTTCACTTTACTATTTGAAGTCCCTATTTGGGTTAGCTAAAAATTCAATTTCTAAAAAATTTAATAAAAATTGCTGAAATGTATGGTTGAAGTTGATAAAAATTATCGATCCCATAAGATGGGTGATTGAAAACTTATTCGCGATAAAATGAATTTTGAAAAATGGAGGTCAAACAGAAGCAAAAAATCATATGATATGGTTTAATATATATATCAGAATAAATGCATTTTTTTGTTCAAATTTATGTGTATTAGACATTTTAATAAATAAATGTGTTCATTTTGAATAGATTCGACATTTTAAGATAGTTTGAGGCTGAAGTATTTTTATGCAATGACAATTGTCTCGTGAAGACTCGTTGTCACTAATAGTTGATATTATTACTTTGTTCACGATTCAACTTTTACTTAGCATAGTTCGAGACTCAAGTAATGACAGTCGTGCCATGAAGACCGAGTCACTAATAGTTGATATTATTACTTTTTTCATGCAAGTTTAATGCCATAAAATTAAACAAATTCAAATAATAAACAAATAAAAAAATGATTTTAATTTTAATTTGTAAAGAATAAATGCAGATAAGAATTATGGATCTAATTTTCTATAAATACACACAAAAAATTTAGAGAAATAAAATAATCAAATTAAGAGAAGAAAAAGAGAAAAATGCAAATCATAACTCAAATATATTTTACAAATTGTAGATAATAAGAAAACAAGGCAATAAGGCACGTGTATCAAACACCAGTAACTCGCCATTCTCCCCACTCACCGAGTCGTACCCATCTCTCACTTCCATCAACGAGTCGAAACCGAGTTGCCTCACAGTCCGACCAGCTATAACTCGGCAAACTAACATGGCCCGCCGTCCCCTGCCACCACCGACACTCTCATGAGCCTCACCACTTCCGGAAAATGTACATATAGTCGCCCCTTTGCCGCAGTGAAATGACCAAGCGCCACCACCTGAATCATACGCGCCACCGTTGGTAGGCCCCAGGCAGTAGAACCTCATCACTTCATTCCCATCAGCGACGCAACGCGCGTGGTCATCAGTGCCACCGTCCACGGCGGCGCCATTTCCAGAACTCGCCTTGGATTTCACCTTCTCTCTATACTCTTCAAACCGGGTCACAGTGCGGGCCAAATTCTGGACTTTAAAAATCGTTTCAATCTCACCGGCGAAATTCTTCGGCTTCCAGCTTGTATGAAAGATTATCTCCACCACATTACGTGAAGGGTATCCCACCGGAAGTTCACTAAGGGCAGGGAAAAACGTATCCGTAACATGCGACGGGCGGGTGGGAATGGTGGCGCGCGTTCTGCTGGCGGGTTTATGTGAACCGGGTTCGGGATTTCTTGAAACGGGTTTTTTGGATTTGTTTACTGTATCTTTAGTGGCAGAGTTTATGCAGCTTGCGGAGCTCGTTAACCGGTGGTAGTGGTGGCTGTGGATTTTAGAGTTGTGGCGGTGGAGGTGGTGGCTCTCAACAACGTCGTCTGATGCTTTTGACTTGCAATTCAATGACTTCATCCATCCAGTCGCCATTAGCGAACCCTTCAAGCTTTCAGGGTCCCTTCTCTCTCTCTCTCTCTCCCTCTCTCTCTCCCTACCTCCCTCCCTCTCCAATTCCACTCTGTATACAGTATGTAAGTCTATACGTCAGTTTTTCTCTCTCTCTTTATATCTCTGTATGTTTCAACGAGGTGGAAAGGAATAGAATGGAGAGGACATAGAACCATTTTTTTAATGAAATGACGGAAAGGCCCTTATATTCTTTTCTTAATTACTTATTGTTTCTTTTCATAGAATGTTAAAACTATGTCTTAGTGTTCCGTTTGAGTCACATTCTTATTTTTATTTTTATTTTTTTATTCATTTTTAACTACACATTTTTAAATAAAATAATATTTTTCATCAAATCAATAAATTTTTCTTAGTGTTCTGTTTGAGTCACATTCTTATTTTCATATTCATTTTCATTTTTGTACTCATTTTTAACTATACATTTTTAAATAAAATAATATTTTTCATCATATCAATAAATTTTTCTTAATGTTCTGTTTGAGTCACATTCTTATTTTCATTTTCATTTTTTTACTCATTTTCAACTATACATTTTTCAATAAATTAATATTTTTCATCACATCAATAAATTTTTCTTCTTTTTCAACCACATATTCATCATCACAGCACAAAAAAATACATTCTTTCTATTTAAATGTTTGGATATGTTATTGTTTAAAGAGGAAAATCTCCCTTGTTTAAATAAGAACATTTTTCCATTCAAAATAGTTTCAATAAATATTTCGAATGAATGACCCCTTATATGTTGAATCCTTGGTACTCAACAAGTGTGAAATGGCCAATCTAATTTGTTGAAGTCACTTGAAGTTTGCAGGCTAAAAAAAAAAAACTTATAAAGTAATAAAGATAACTAAGGGTGACAAGCAAAAATGACAAAGGGTGCAAGCAGCTCGTTGACTTGCGCTCGTGGACGACTTGCCTTGCCTCTTAATCGGGTCGTGGAGCAAGCTGAACCCAAAAAATCCCTTGTAAGTCAACGAGCTTTCGAGTCATGTGATTTGGCTCACTAAGCAGGCTATGCTCGCAAGTTGATTAATGGCTAAAGCGGATGCTATTGTAGCTAATTAGTGGCAGATGTAATCACATCATATTCAAGCAGAAGCTTGGTTGCCTGAATTTGAAATTTAAATTTTGTTTACTTTTTTTAAGAATGGACACGTACCATCGAATTAAATTCAAGCAGTCGTACAAATGTCCGAATTTGAAACTCAAGTTTTTTTTTTCAAAACTATAAATATAAGATGTTGATTTTTTTTAAAAAAATAAAAAATAGGGCGAGTGGCTTGGCAAGCCCCACTCATAGGCGAGTCAATGGGGCAAATTAGCTCGAAAATTTTCAAGGCTTGTACTCGATTTGTCCCAAAGAGAGTCGAGCCAAGCTCGCTTGGTCGATTGAGTCGAGTCGGCTCGGACTCAGCTCAATGACATCCTTAGTAACAAGTAAGTGAGTAACACAAGAAACGGTGGTAGATATAGGTGGTTTGAGAGGCCATGGTGACGTGTGAACGTTGATAGAAGGGTAAAATTGGCAATTTAGGGTTACTCCATTAATTCTCAAGTTAGCGTTGAAAACAAACAGCTAAGTTGGGAATTAAGGATATAATTAAATGGTTATTAAATATTTAATTTGATGAGAATTATGATTCATTTTAATTGTAAGCAAAATCAAAACGGACAGGACAGGTGATCATTCAATCCAAGAATTTTTAAATTCTTTATTTTATCAAATTCAACGTAAGAATTAATATTTCAAAAATTCCCATAAACATCTTATAATACAATTTACTGAAATGGTCACCCAAGTTACAGGTTTTGTATTTAATCACCCAAGTTGTGTTGCAAGAATTTTATATTATATTTAATCACCCAAGTTACGTTGACAAATGTATAAGTTCGATTGTGAATTCTGTAGGCTAGAATACGAATTCCATAGCTCTCAAAAAAATCATAGATGGAATTGTAAAATTAAAAATAAAAATAAAAAAATTTATTAGACAACGTTGAAATAAATTAAACTTTAGCAACGAACATGAAACAAGATTGTAAGTTGAGTGACCACAAGTGAAATTTCTACATACACCCTTCAAAAGCGGCATATTTTTTTAATTAAAACTTGTGATTATATTTTCCAGTCGTTGATATTGATGTCTAATTCCATGCCATCAATGCTTATCTTGCAGTTTGATTGATATATATCACTAAACCTATTCTCATTTCTCATGAGTGTCATCAAAGATGTTGCATGTGCTCCACAAATTATAATAAATTGAGCTTTATTCTTTATAAGTCAATTATGTAATATAATCATGTTAAAATTGGTGGGTCGAATTATCGCATAGGTTGAGATGATCCGTCCAATAAAAATTTTGGCTCGACCCAACTTAGTTCAGTTTAGATCAATTCGGGGGTTGATCTGTTATAATAAATCAATTGTAAACAGATAAAGAAAGAAAGAATACAAAATATTTCATTACAAGTATCGAATATAACATTTTCCAATCAAACTCGAGAGTATTTTCAATTTTATAGACCATTCAAAATAATCTTTACCAATTTGAGTGCCAAAAACACCACGGGGGACTAGGGCTAATCCGAGTGGTATACTCTAATGCTACACAAGGCGACTCTTTTGGTAGTACTATATTGAACGATGAAATTTGACATCAGGAATATTCGTGCAATTTTATAAATGAAAAAATGCAAATACACGTGTCTAGTCAAAGAACTCAAATCCATAAATAATGCTCTCTAAATGTAGGGTTGGTGGATATTTATTCAAGGCCAATTGTAGTGAAAGCTTGTTCTTTATAACTAACTTGAATGCCGTCTACCTTTGTTGTTCCTTAAAAAAAAAAAAAAAAGGCAAGAATTTGGCTTGATTATGTGTCTTCTTAGTAAAACTGAGGTTTTATGTATAAACCAAACCCATTTACTATAAACTAATTTGGCCCATTAAAGTTAATAATAGAGAAAATTACACCTACACCTGTAATTAGATTTCCAATTTCACAAATCCAATCACAAGATCAACATTTCAAAATCAAGTTTTTACTCCCATCTGTCGAATCTGCCCGCGTGGTGGTGAAGAGCCGCCGCTGCTGTAGAAGGACAGTCAGTCCTGCGCCACCGTCGCATATGTCGTTCAATTCAACCATCAGCCACTTCACAGAAGCCGTGAGCCACTTCTGTTTCCAATCAATCTGCCGCCTATGCTTAATACAGATCTGCACCGTTTTCTGATATTGACCTTAATAACGAGCCACCTAAATCTGGACTCGCCGACGCGGAGGCTGCTCTGGCTAGATCTTCGTAAACGGTGCAGATCTGTATTTCCCTTTTTTTTTTGTTGGATTTGTGTGCGTAGGTGCGGTGCCGTGGTGTTGCCGGGGATCGGGCGATGGTAGTGGTGGTGCCGTAGTGGTTATCTGTGCGCTGTAAAGTGTGGATCTGAAGTTGGTGGCGGCGGTAGTTGTGTGTTCTGTGTGTGATTTGTGTGCTTGCCTTGGCTGTGCGTGTGGCGATGGGGGTCTTGGGGTGGTGATGGAGAGGGTGTGGTGTTGGTTTTGAGATGTTGATGGTGTTGCTGGTGGAGGCGGCGGCGAAGTGGTGGTCACAAATAATTTGGTTGTTTGTGACCACTAATTTGGTTGGCTGGCGACCAATAAATGATATGTGACTAATGAATTAGATAAAATGTGACAAATAAATGATTTGGGACCTAAAAATTATTAATTTTTGACCAATAATTTGATAAATTGTTACATAAATACAATTTATCTTGGCGACCAATAAATGATATGTGACTAATGAATTAGATAAAATGTGACCAATACATGATGTGTGACCTAAAAATTATTAATTTGTGACCAATAATTTAATAAATTGTGACATAAATAAGTATTGTGACTTGTAGATTTTGTGATTTGTGACCGATGAATAAATTGTGACTTTTATATTTTTAAGTTGTGACCTATGAAAATTTTGAATTGTGACCTAAAAATTTTTGCCGGAGTTGAAACACTTGTTGGAATCGGAGCAGTCGCCGGAACAAAGTGGCGACGGAACGATCATCGAAATCGTCGCCAGAATCGGAGCAGTAGTCGGAATTGTCGCCAGGATGAGTTGTGACCAAAACGGTAGCCGGAATAGTTCCCGAAACGGTAGGGATGGTGGAGGTGGGGTGGGGTAATTATATTATATTAGAATTAAATATTTAATAATAAATTGATTTAATAATTCATTATTTCATAAATAAAAAATTAAAAAACCTGATTTGTGAAATTTGAAACTTGTTTTTGTATTTTTGAAAATGTGTTATATTAAAATTAAATATTTAATAATAAATTGATTTAATGATTCATTAATTCATAAATTAAAAATTAAAAAACATGATGTGTGAAATTTGGAACTTGTTTTTATATTTTCGAAAAGATGTAAAGTAAACACCTTAAAAATATATTATTCCCTTAATAATATGTAGAAAAAGTTGTAGTCACGGTCTTCAACGTTTAAATTTATTAGCCCTTGAATCATCAATATTTTTTCCATGTATAGCTGAAGATAAAATTTAAATGATTAAAAAGTGATCAATTTCTAGTAGCATAAATATTTAAACGAGATAGTGACAATAGTAACATATCAAGACAAAACGCGTGAAGTCAAAGTCTCATTGTTACTCATTTATATGCACTTGTCGAGTTTTGATTAGAAAAAAAAAAAAAAAAGAACTCCACTACAAATAAGGGAGGTGTGCTGAAAAAAAAAATTATATAAAAACTTCAAACGTTTAAATTTCATAGTAAGGACCAAAGGTCATTGCAGACGGTTTCTATCAAAATAGGGGTTTAATATAATGAAAGAAACAATTAATTTTTCCTATGCAAATAAACAAGGCAAATAAATATAGAAATGGTAAAAATTGAAAGAAGAAAAATAAATAAACACCGTCTCCTAAGGATAGC